TGTGTGAAGCCTTAACCTCCCTGATTGTAGATGTCTTCACCTTTGAAGCAGCTTTAAAATATACCTCACTGAATAAAAAGTAGATTCATTAGCTAACTTATCTGAAACCAAAAACCAACAAAAATTGAGTGATAAAAGTAGCCGAATAAACGTATTCAGTCGAGCAATAACAGTCTTCAAATAAGCTACAAGCAGCAATTTACATACAATGAAGATTCTCTCACACAAATAAAACTAGAACACTCAAACCCGACTAAGGAACAAAAATAAAATCAAAACAAAGAGCGTTGAAAACTTACTAAAATCTTTTAACCTCAGAAGGAATTTGCTGATGCGGGTCAGGAACATCTGCATTATCATTAACATCCTCTGCTCTCTGAGTCATCAGAATATCATGATCATCATCTGGAAATGCTTCCGTGGGTTCAGGTAGCAACTCGTCAATAGCAGCAGAAAAAATGGAAACATATCGGCGAGTGTTTGCAGTCACACGTCCTGCAAGCTCCCCAATATCATCATTATACTACAGCACCAAGGAAATGAGTAAGTTCACATGGATTTACAATTACAACATCCACCAAAAAAGAAACAACAAGAGATTTAAAAATAAAAAATAAAAAAGGCACTCACATTCAATAAGTCATCAAGATCGACCTGAATAGCTCGAATCTTACGATTTGAAACCTCTTGCTACACAAATCATGAATGAGACATAAATGAGTTTACAAATTTCAATTGGATTGATAATCTATTATCGAGCAAATCCCTAAATTAGGGAGATTCGCGAAAACCCTAGAAGAGAAAAATCGATGAAAGGAGACTCACGAGAATCTCCAAGTACTTAGATCTGTCATTAGCGTCGGTGAAATTCTCGAGAAAGTCCTTGGCAAGCACTGCAGGAAGAAGAAGAAAAGATGAAAATCAAAACCCAGAGAAGAATTATAAAAAAAAAAAAAACGAAAAGAGGGAAGAGATTATCGAGGACGGAGGAGACAGGATTTGACCTTTGTCGCCGTCGAAATCATGGTCTTTCATGATTTGAGAGCTTGGGGTCGAGCGAGTGAGAGAGAGGGACGGAGCAGAAGAGTGAGAGACGAAAGGAATGAAAGCAAAGCAGAAGACTTGAGGCGGTAAAAGGGTTGTAAATGTCGATGAGATTTGGCGGGAAAATTAATGTAGAGAGAAATGGCGGGGGGTGAATGGACGGTCCAGATCTTAGGATATCGTGATAAGTGTAATGTCGATGATACCCCTATTGGAGATTGTGTAAAAATAAGAAGGAAAAAAATGTGGCTGCTGGGATTCGAGCCCAGGTCTCCACGGCCACAACGTGGAATTCTAACCACTAAACTACAGCCACTTTTGAATGTTTGCGTCAGCTTTTACTAATTTAAACTATAACATGGATTTAACTTGCTATGGACATTCGGTTTCGGTTTCCGTTCGGTTACGCTCGATTTCGGTTAGTTCGAATATTTTAGCAATTCCAGTTTAGATCAGTTTAGTTTACTTTTGGTTCAGATATTTGAATAAATAGTCGTAACTAACCGAAATCGAATTTGTTTTAGTCTTTTTTTTTTGTTCAAAATTAATAGAAAAATACAAAATATTGATATATTAAACGTAAAAGTTAGTAAAATAACAATTTTGTCAAAAATGTATTTAACTTTGAAAATATAACTAACAACATTTGGATATGTTTATTGTTTGAAGTATTTGATTGTTTTTTTTTTTTTGCCTAGGAAGTATTTGATTGTTTTGAGGCTTAAAAATAACTAATATTTTTGAGTTTATAAAATTATAGTACATGGATATTATTTTGGGTATCTTCTAAATTTTATGAATATTTTGGTTACCTGTTGTATTGTTGGTCGGGTTCGGTTTTGATTAATTTGGATAGGAGATTTTACTAACTATTCAATTAGTAATTTTTGGATTTTGTTTGGTTCAGTTCGGTCGGTTCTTCAGCTATCGGTTTATTTGCCCATACCTTATTTAACAAATATTTGTTAAATGTGACAATTGTATACAGAAATATATTTGTTTTTTTATTTTAAATGTGACAATTGTATACAGAAAAAAGTGTCATCTTCATAGTCCTTCCTTTGGTGAAAAGAAAACCATATACGTAGTTTGTTTCTATATTTCTTCGTAACACTTGTCCTAAATCCATTGCTTCGATCCAAATTAGTGTCTTTAAAGTTAATAGATTTCTTCTTTTGTATAATAATAAATTCTAGTCTCCCTCTTGCTTTGATAAGAACTTGGTCAACATCATCTTTAACATCGCCTTCATCTTAGCCGATTTAAATTCAGTGAAATAAAATTACAGCAAAAACACTTCTTCTCCTTCTTCTTTCATTTCCCAGTCTACAAAAAATCTTCACATCTTCTTCTTTCTTCTTGTTTTTCTCATGTAAGTCTTCTCTATTTTACTTCTTCCTTTTTTCTTTTTTTTTTTTCATTCCCCAGTTTCTTCCGGGATCAAAACCGAATCTGTCTTTTTTTTTTTTTTTTTTTTCTTTTCGTCAACCTACGACAAAAACCATCACACTTGTCTTTCTTCACTTTCTGTCTGAAACCATTTTTTTTTTTTTTACAGTATAGCTTAGAAACGATTTTGATATTTTTTTTCTTTTCTTCTCAAGGTGGTAAAAACGGAATAAGATCAGAATCCAATTATTTTTTTTAAATGACATTTGGTAAAAAGGTAAAAAAATCTCTCTCTCTCTCTTTTTTTTTTTCTTGTTTTTTTCTGTTATATATAAAGGTAGAATATTCAGAATCAGATAAGATTCCAACGATCATTAGAGATTTGTTGTGAAAATGGAGAAGGGAAATACTGTAAGAAGACATGCAATGCAACTCAGTATTAAAATAGATTTGTGATGTGAAGAAGATAAGGTTAAGAAAATGACCACTCTCTAATTCTCAAACTTCAAACCAAACAAATGATGTACCAAACACGAATCAGCACGCAATTAATCACAATTCTCAAAGTGGAAAAATCTAATCCAATTAATTCTAAGCCACGTGAAGATTTAAATGTGTAATTTTTGTTTCATTTTCTCTCAGATTCCGGAATTTGGGTAAAACACAAACACAAAAAAAGTCAACCGTTGCAGCGAACTCTTGATAAGAAGCTTAAGAAGAAGAAGAAGAAAATGGCAGGAGGGTCGTTTGGTCCGACCGGTGTGGCTAAGGAGAGAGCAGAACAATACCAAGGGAAAGTCACTGGTTATGTCATAATCGCTTGCCTTGTTGCAGCCATTGGTGGATCCATCTTTGGATATGACATTGGAGTCTCAGGTTCTTTCATAATCTCTTTTTGTTTTTCTTGGAATCCAGTATCTCTGAATCTTCTACTCAAAGAATGGGTGAAATGGGTTTTGTTTACAGGAGGAGTTACCTCCATGGATGAGTTTCTTGAGGAGTTTTTCCATGCGGTGTATGAGAAGAAGAAGCATGCTCATGAGAGTAATTACTGCAAATACGATAACCAAGGATTAGCTGCTTTCACTTCTTCACTCTACTTGGCTGGTTTGGTTTCGACTCTGGTGGCTTCACCCATCACTAGGAACTACGGGAGGCGTGCGAGTATTGTCTGTGGTGGAATCAGCTTTCTTGTTGGAGCTGCTTTGAATGCTGGAGCTGTGAATCTAGTTATGCTTCTTGCTGGACGGATCATGCTTGGTGTTGGCATTGGATTTGGAAATCAGGTTAGACATATTGTTTGGTTGATTTCGTAGATGAACCAATATCATCTTTTAAGAAAGTTTTTACCTGGTTTGGCGATAGACCAGTCTCATCTTTATGAAAGCAGCTTGGTTTTGTTTTCAGGCAGTTCCATTGTATTTATCAGAAGTGGCACCAACTCATCTCCGAGGTGGTTTAAACATGATGTTTCAGTTAGCAACAACTCTTGGGATCTTTACAGCGAATATGGTCAATTTCGGTACTCAACAGCTTAAGCCTTGGGGCTGGAGACTCTCTCTTGGTTTGGCTGCTTTTCCTGCTCTGCTCATGACGCTTGGCGGGTATTTCTTACCCGAGACTCCCAACAGTTTGGTCGAAAGAGGATTGACAGAGAGAGGTCGACATGTACTGGAGAAACTAAGAGGAACAAAAAACGTCAATGCAGAGCTTCAAGACATGGTAGATGCGAGTGAGCTTGCGAATTCCATCAAACATCCTTTCAGAAACATCCTGCAGAAACGACACAGGCCTCAGCTAGTAATGGCGATTTGCATGCCAATGTTTCAGATCCTCACTGGCATAAACTCCATTCTCTTCTACGCGCCTGTTCTGTTCCAGACAATGGGATTTGGTGGAAACGCATCTCTCTACTCATCAGCTTTAACAGGAGCTGTTCTTGTTCTCTCAACATTGATTTCCATAGGATTAGTTGACAAATTGGGACGAAGAGCTCTTCTCATCAGTGGAGGAATACAAATGATAATCTGTCAAGTCATAGTCGCAGTGATCTTGGGAGTGAAATTTGGAGACAAGGAAGAGCTATCAAAAGGCTACTCAGTCATCGTAGTCATCTTCATCTGCCTCTTTGTTATGGCATTCGGATGGTCATGGGGTCCTCTCGGTTGGACCATACCGAGCGAAATCTTCCCATTGGAGACACGTTCTGCGGGACAGAGTATAACGGTTGCTGTAAACCTCCTCCTCACTTTCATCATAGCTCAAGCTTTCCTTGCTCTCCTCTGTGCATTCAAGTTTGGAATCTTTCTCTTCTTTGCTGGTTGGGTCACTGTAATGACCATCTTTGTCTATTTCTTGTTACCTGAAACCAAAGGAGTGCCAATTGAAGAGATGACACTCTTATGGAGTAAACATTGGTTCTGGAAAAAAGTATTACCTGCTACAAATCTTGAAGCTGATGATAGCAACAATGAGATAAACAGTCCTGCCTAAAAGAGAGTATAGTTTGATTATGTTGTATGTGACGAAGAAAAATTAGTTTTTTGTTGTTGTTGTCTTCCATTATGTTATTAGACTAAAGATTTTATTGCGTAAAAGAGATGTGATCATGTGACAAGTACAAAAACTTCAAAATCCAAAAACAAAACACAAAAGCCATACAAGAAGAGTCAGTCATCATAGTGACTGTAACACCAAAAATAAACTCCATTACAGAGTGCAAATCTGAGCAGAGCCAAGTTTTGGCTGTAATTGGAGTTTTGCGATCACATTCTCCATCTTCTTCATCCTCCTCTGAGATAAACAAATAGATTTGTTTACTCACTTCACATGATTCTTCAACATCTGCGATGTTAAAAGACTCGTTGCAATTTTAGGGTTTTCTTCCCCCAAAATCTCTACCTTTGGAAATCTAAACAACGAGATTGTTCTTCTCCAAAAAACATGGAATCGGAACAGAGCTCGGAAGCGGGGAAATTGAGCAACCAGCTCCGGCGAAGATCTCCAATCTTTTAAAAGCTCCGATCTGCTTCATCAGAATCTCTGGTTCAGGTCCAAGTCTATTAGTCGACGTTACAATCAGATCAGTATCATTCACCGTCTTCTTCAAAACAGGTCGTCTCGTAACATCGCAGCCACTGTTCTCCTTGTTACTAAACGCGCTCAATGTCTCGCCGCGTTTGAGGATCTTGACTTGTTCCATTACGAGATTATTATTCGCCGCCGGAGATTTGATCACCGTAGGTTGAGGCGTCGAAGGAGCTCGCCTGCGTCGGCGAGGAGCCGCTTTAGCAGCGTTAGAGTGGCGGCGAAGGCTAGGATTAGGGCAACGGTCGATTAGGGTTTCGTGATCGAATCGATGGTTAAGAGAGTTTTGAGAAGAGAGAACCATCGCAGTGGCCATGGCTTGAGGCTTGTAGCTTCTTGTTTTACTTTAGAAAGAAACAAGTCTCTGAAGGAAGGGAACGCTGTTATATAAATAATAAAATTATCCCTGACTAGACCGACCAAACCGGTTATGAATATCTTTATAGCCACTACACGAATTAGATTTTAGGTTTAGGCTTAATGGGGCATTAGAAAGTTTTAGACCCAATTTACTCGAAGCAAATCAAACCGGGTTTGTGAGCTTGGGGTAGAGACGGTAGAGTGTTACAGTAAAGATTTGGTTTGACACTAGAGAGTTTCTGCAAAATACATACCAATTTGATGGTTTTGATTTACACTACGGAAGATAACAAGAAGCGGGAAAAATTGGCAAAAATCATGACACACTTGCTTTGAGTTATGACCATTTTTTAAGAGGAAACTGTGTTGTTGTTGTTGTGCTCCTTTGATTTAGCGAGTTTAGCTTGTATGAGTTTATCCAAGATCGGTGGCTCCAGCGGAATCACATCAAGACATCTCTCAGAAGCCGCAACAATCACCTGTGCATACAAAATACACAACACAGTCCGAGAGTGAATAATCAGTTGCAAAAGCTAGACACAGATCCTCTAAACCCTAAAGTAAACAAATACTCAGTAGTAATCAGAAAAAAAGCAACGGAAGAAGGTTTGGGCATTAATCACCTCGTCAAGCAAGAAATCAATCGCAGCTTCGTCCTCAACTGTTTCCTTCAAAGGAGCTTTCAAGAACTGAATGTCTAACTGAATCTGCTGGAACCCGCTCCGGTTAAACGTTTGGAGCCGGACATATTCTTGTAAACTCTTCAGACAGAGTTTCACTGTTGTTGTAACAACGGATTCCTGTAAGTAATAAACACCAACAAAGAACTTAGATCAGGAGATCACGAGCGTGCGCTTGATATAACTAAATAGGAAACTTTAATGTTTCGTTCTTACCTGGGTAAATTCAACCTTGGTGAATATTTCTACTTTTTGCTTGAACAGTTTTGCAAGATGTGTCTCGAAAAGCTGACTACGAGCTCTCTGTGAATTCGACCGTGTCATCTTATCGTTATGGAGTGTATTACTTCGTGATGAGGTTGTAGTGTTGCTTCCGTTGCTGTCTGTTCTCTTGTGCTTCCGGAATGTCCCTTGAGGTAAAACTTGTTTCACTTCTTTACCAATTTCTTCTAACTGTGAAGCAGAAATCCAAAAAAAAAATATGAGTTATTGTATGTTCTTAGTTATAATTTCCAGACTGAGAAGAGAAGAGTTGTCAAACCTCGTGAAGAAACATATCCACAAACATGTGGACCTCTCGTGGCTCCTTGTGCTGCAGAATATTTAGAATCTTTAGAAATCAATGACTGAAAAAACGCTTCTCTAAGAAGACTTGTCACATGACAAAAGCGTTACCTTAACCCAGTTTGGTGTCTTGAACCTTTTCCTCAATAAAACTGATATCTTCTGTGTTCTTGTGTCTATGTACTGAAATATGAAATGATTTAGTTAGTTGAAGTGTTTAAGTTAAGTTTCTGTGACGACCTCAAATTTTGGAGTTTATCTCATACATGCTGGAGAAGCTTCTCGCTGGCTGCGTGGAAGACCCGGCAAAGTTCTCCAGGAATAAAGGCAGGTCCATTCTCAAAGGCTTGGGAATTTCCACCAGAGAAGGAAGCAGCTATTTCCTGAATTGGCATATAAAATTTCTGAACTCCGCTACCAATGTGGTTTGAACTTGAACTATCAAACCAGTTGTAAGACTCGTTACCTCAGTAACTCTCGGGATGACCTTTTGTTCAATGAAGACAGAGAGCTGCGCCAATACAAGGATGAGACCAGCATGAATTTTTTCACTTGATTTTCCCTCTACCAAACCTCCTTCAGTATCGTTTGATGAGCTAGTTTTTCCAGAAAGTACTAGAAATTGAGCTTCAAGTGACCTGAAGAAGTCTTGAAATCCGTTCTGAATCCAGCCAATGATTAAGTCCTTCATCTTGACAAATATTCCAGTGTTTTCATCAAGAAGTTGACGGAAGTCCTGAAATGATATAAACAAATATAAGCGTCTGTGCAAATTTGTACAGAGGAATTGAAGGCCAAACTAAAACATCACAAATTATGACAAAAGAGGAATATACCTGGAATATATCTGTGATGCCCTGTAGCCCTGCCTTTTTGCTAGCTTCCAGGACAACCTTTAAGACTTCCTCTTCTACTGCTTCCTTTTGGTTGATATCGAATTTCAAGATAGTATCTGCATATATAGACCTCATTAGAGTTCTGATTCCTTCAAAGACTAAAACTTCATGAAGACATTAATCTACTCTTCAAATTACTTAAAGGCAGAACTTATTATGAATTATTCAAACTATACTCATTCTCTCTCTCTTTTCCCATACCAATATCTTTGCATCCAGTAGAAAGAAATTAGGAAACAAGCAAACCTGATATATCCTGTTGAAGATGAGAAAACGTCTTTGCAACAAATTGCTTAACTGTGACCTGGGCAGCCTGAAATGACGAGCACTAGTAATCATACATAGTTCTACACATCATAGAAAAAAAATAGAGCCACATAAATTTATTAAGGGTCAACCTCTGCAGATAAATCAGAGAGTTCAGCCTCAGGTAGCACCTCGTCCATTAGTACCACATCTTCCCATATGATTCCTATGTCCAACATAATTCAGATACAATTATTAGACTAATTTAATCAACGCTTTAAAATGTAATGGAAACCAACATAAATGAGAGACAATGGTATGAGGAAAACCGCTGTACTCACGGAAAATTCGAAGAAAATCTGCTGCAGAAACCCGCTTTCTTATATATAGCTCCATGTTCTCAAAGTGCCTAACAACCATAAGTGTTAAAAATAACGCAGGTCAGACACAAACAGAGTCTCTGTTTATGGACTAATGAAATGTGCATTACATTGCAGCTAAGGCTCTAGCGAGTTTGAAAAGCCTTTCTTCTGAGTCCGGGAATATTTCTCGATAAGCACGCATGGCCTCAGAAAATCCACGCACAGCATCCTATCAAGAAAAGGGGGCAAACATTTGAATATCTAAAGTGAAAAATATAAGTCTGATAGAAAAAAGGAAAATTATTCTTTAATGTAATTGTTACTAAGACCATTCACTTGCAGTTACTGATATTCAAAGTGCTTAATAATACACTCAGGTTTACTGTGTTTCAACTAGCAAGCATCAGAAGCACAAAACAAAAGGAAGCGACATAGTCCATGTTTACCTCATGAATTTTAGCAGGAAGTTGGTCACTGCTTTCCGCATCATTAGATGAATCATTGTGCTCTGCAAGTAAACTTGCTTCCTTAGCCTTTATTTGAAGACCATCAAGAGACTGTTCCAGTTTTTCCAACAGTTTGTCCTTTAAGCTATCAACCTGCAGGATATCCAGTTATGTCACAACAACTAGTGATCCGTATATACAACAAAGAAAACACTCCAGTTTTATACAAAAAGTACAAACATTAGGAACGTTCTACGTAGCTCCAACCTTCACCCAGATTATAGATGTTTTAACAAACTAAACGTCACAAATAATTGAGCAAAGAGAAAGTACTAACGGGGACATCCAGCTGCTTAAGAAGCACTGCAGCTTCAGCTCTCGCCTGTATGGATTCTGAATCTGAAAATAGCTTTGTCTGTCGAACAAGAAAATATAAATTTTTCACATCAAGAATTCAAAGAAACAACAAATACAAATTCATAAAGACCAGTTATTTTTTTATATGGTCGATAAACCAAAAGGTACTAGGATCAAAAGGTACACCTGCAAGTTCTTTATGATGATTTCTATAGCTTCTTCCGAAGCTCGCCTGCAGTCTTGGAATGATGTATCACCATATACCTGAACAGAAGGAGAAATTCTTATTATTGAAGAGAAACTATTATCGCTAAACATAAGTCCCATATATATATTCACGAAAATATTGCCTCAATAACACTGAACGAGAAGTATATGGGATGTTTATCTTAGGATAGATATAAACCTTGAGAATTGGCATTGCTCCAATATAGAACCTGACAGCATCGCCATAGGTTTCTGACTTGATACATTTTTGCAGTCTTGCAGGTAAATCATAGATGAACTGCTCTTTTACAAAAATAAGTTTGAGTAAATTCACAATGTCAAGCAGCATACCACTATTATAATAATAATGCGACTACATGGAAAATAACATGAGACAGAATATAAAACGAACCAATAGCAATGATTTATTACATACCTGAACTTTACGAAGAAGATTACGTGTCCGGTGCAGTTTCTCTATATGTTCTCTTTTTTCGAATAGAGAAGTATTGACCCCATCACTCCTTGATTGCACTGACATTATCTGCAGAAGTCACTATGGGTTAGACGGTCATGCAATATTCAAAGCTAGAACTAAATGTTATTCTATGTGTTCAAAAACACCTTCTGAAGAAGCTGGTCCATATTGCCTTCCATTCCAAAAATATTACTCTTCATCCTAACAAGTAAAGAAGCATTTTTTAGAATTTAGGATATACATACTCATGAGAGGTGTATTAAATCATACAGAAAAGTGTTAAAATGCTTAATCACACGCTTAACACTTGAAACGATCCACGAGCCATTACAAGTACGGAAGTACCTTTTGATGGTATCTGTTGCACTGATAAACTTGTTGTAATTTTCATAGACTAGCATTTGCAAGTCTGTGTCAAGATTTTTAATCTCCGCAGCCATTTGAACATGTCTTTGCAGAAGCACCTCCAGATTCGACTTTTTAATCTACAAAAGCCAATAAAACCATAAGGTCGTAGCATATTTCTCTATCAGTCACTCGCACTACTGTCTACCATGCTTAACAGAAAGCTCATAAATCCAACTGAGTGAGGAACTATAAACCTCATAGATCACTGATACGTAGAACTCAATTTGGCAGAATTCTCATATGATTCGAGCATATAAATCAACAAAACCAGCTAAGAGAAATTCATGACCAACCACATTGATCCATTGTGTACACCTAATCAAAATTCAAGAGTTCTC